CATAAGTGTAACCATATTTATTTGATTTATTATCTATGTCATGCAATGTTATGGAGATAGCTTTACTACTTTAAAGCATGCTGTTGCTTTTCTTTCTTTAGTTTTCTTTTATTAAGTTGTACTGGATATATTAGCGTTATTCCCTGTGACACCGTTGTCTGTCACAGTGAATTATCACCTAAAATGTAAGATTGGTACTTTAAATAAATAAATAAGTTGCATGTCAAGTTATTTTTGTTGAGTTAGCAGGATACTTTACTGAGAATGAGAAACAACAAAACCAATCCACCCCACCTCACCACCAACCCTCATCTCTGGTGGTAGTTGAACAACTAGAATTGGCGGTCAGAATCTTTATCTTTTGTTAGTTTATCCTATGTGTCTGTTTTCACATTGTATCAGACTGAGCATGAAAATTATTGCACAAATTTGCAACTGTCTTAGCTTTCTCATTTCTCATATGCTTATTGTCCTTACCAGGTTGTATTATCTTCCCGAGAGGAAAACTTATGGATGTCCAAAAAGATACTAAGCTATATAGTTGAATTGGCGAAATATGATCCTGATCATGATGTTCGTGACCGTGCTCGGATTTTCGAGAAACTTATACTCCGTCATACAAACTCGCCAACACAGGAGGAAGGCACCTCGTTCCTGCAGTCAAGCGGAGAAATACATCCTGAAGTTGTGACAAAGCTATTTAGTAAAGGGATACCCAAAGTGATACGCGTCAGCGATAATAGTCGGATTTATCTTCCTGGGTCACTTTCGCAAATAGTCCTTCATGCAGCTCCGGGGTATGGACCGCTTCCAAAGCCTTGCAGTGTGCGTGATGAAGACCTGAATGCCTACTCCAATACAAATGTGTCAACTGAAGATATTGATGATGGCAATTCTTCTGACACCAATGATCCTGAAATATCCTCTGGCTCTTCCTTTGAAGAAAGCGGTTCAATTTATGATTCCGAGCATTCTAATGTCAGCTCAGTTAGCAGCAAGGATTCTAGGCTTGCAAGTGATTCAAATGGTTATGGTCATACCGATTCTTTATTGTCTATGAAAGACACAGTAATACCTCCTCTGGATGATGCTGGTGTTCTCCGTAATCAAAAGAGTCAAAGTGCCGCAGAAAATATTTCTTCATCCTTTTCTTTGGGTTTGGCAGAAATAATGTCTAAGTCAGCATTGGAATCATGGTTAGGTGAGCAATCTAGCACATCATCAGAACAAAAGTCACAACAATTGTCTTTGGCAAGAGTTTCTATCAATGATCTTCATTGTATTATTAAGCCTATATCGCGCACGCTTCTTGATCCTGCTAATGGAAATGGCTTGAAGCTAGAATATTCCTTCTCATCAGAAGTTTCAAGCATATCACCCTTGCTAGTGCTTGTTGAAGTATTCTTTAGCAACCAGTCTACTGAACAGTTAAAAAATATTTCTTTGAAAGATGATGAGTCTGATGGAACTGTGGAATCTGCAAATGTTTTGTTGGAAAAGCCTGAAAGGTGCACTACTGATCCTTGTTCTTCTAAACTATTATTTGTCTTCATTCTAATTCCTATTCTCGTTTCACTATTTGTTTGTCTTTACTAACTTTCCTTATTCTCGTTTCACTATTTGTTTGTTCTTTACTAACTTTCCTTACTATATGCTAGTGAGCTGCCAAAAATTCTGCCTGTGGAAGAGATTGCAGCTTTAAATCCGGGTCAGAATGCAAAGAGAATGCTGCATGTTCGATTCCTTCATCACTTGTTACCTATAAAGTTAGCTGTATTCTGCAATGGGAAAAAGTATTCCACTAAATTATGGCCAGAGATTGGTTATTTTATGAAACCTCTTTCAATGAATTTAGAATCCTTTACCGATAAGGAATCTCAGTTACGGGGAATGTTTGAGTATTCTAGAAGGTTAGTTGATTGATTCTAGTTTCTTTCAGTTATCAAGTTATTGTCATTTTACTATGAACAACAGTTTGTATAAGATAACCAACTACGAAAAGATATCTTCCTAGATTCTCTCTTGACCATTCATAATGATGGTCCATTCAGTATTATAGACAAATGAGCTTACTTAGGTCCAGTTTGGCATTGCATTTTTTAAGGTGCTTCGGCTTCTTTTTTTTTTTTTTTTTTTTTTTTTTTTTTTTGCTTTTTTTTTTTTTTTTTTTTTTTTTTTTGAGAAACAGTTAATATGGCGTTTGGTGTTTTTTTTCCTTCATACATATTGAAATTACTTCTTCTTTTAAGGAGGTGCTGTTAGAACCAACCTTAGGGTGCTTATAAAACCAGCGTATTCCGTTTTTAGTTTGTATACCACATATGATCTTTATCTTTTGACAATGATCTTTAAGCACAGTTTTGACAAATATCTTAACTGCTTTTGGAAGCAGTTTTTGATATATGACCAATCAAGTATCTTCAACAACTTAACCTAGACTACGAAGTCTATACTATTTGTGTACTACTAGGCACAAAAATGTGGGGCCCTTCCTCATGAACAGGCTATTAGAGATTATGATTTACAAGGGCCCCACAGTTGTGTGTATTGTAGTACAATACAAGGTAATATAGACATTGTAGCTAGTAGCATCTGAAGTCTTATAGAAATTAGGTTCATGAAGCATAAAATTTGTTTCAGTTTTATGCATTTGTACGGTTGTACCATTAGTAACTAGAATCTAACGGAGTCCGATGAATTTTTCAACAGTTGCAAATTTGTGGACCATGTTGGAGAGCTTAATCAGGAGAATCAGAGTTCAATTCAAGATGACAAAATTCTCATCGTCTCTCGGTGTCTTGCGGCAAAAGTTTTCAGTAATGCGAATCTTTACCTTTTGTCTACAGATGTTCCTGTTTCTTTCAATATAGATGACGCATCAGGTTTACGCTTGAGATTCAGTGGTGAAATCTTAAGCAGCTCAAGACCATGCCTGATAACTCTATTCATTGAAGGAAAATGCATCGAACCATTAAATGTCACAGTGAAAATCAATTGTGAAGAAACAACATTTGGCCTTAATTTGTTAAACAAACTTGTTGCACTTCTAAATTGAACATTCTGATTACATTTAGCTCAAGGTCTGATAACTTGTGTGGTGAATTTCTTTTGCTAAGTTTTGCAAGCGTAATGATTGTAAAAATTCCACGCGGTGGATGGAATGTTATACTAGTTAGCTATATAAGGCGAAAACTTCATCATTGGCATTGGCGTTGTCTTGTGATATCTTTCTTGTTCCTCAAAATCTGTTAAACAGATTTGTTCTGGTTTTAAATTGAGTTTTCCTGAATATTCATTTAGCTCGAGATCTGATTATTATTAACTGCTGAATGGTGGATTTTGTTTGCTAACTTTTCTGAGGTTGATCGCTGTAAAATTTCCCCGTGATTGCTTAAATGATATATAAGCTAGTCCTATATGCTGAAATCTTGATCATTTGCTTAGTCTGAAGGGGTTATCTTTATTTACTCTGCTTGATCAGTGAAGTTGCAATTTGCACATGCTCTTTATTTCTTTTCATACTGCCTTAGCAAGTTTATGATACAGATGATAGTGTCTTTCACTGTTTTTAAATTGTCATGTGAAATGTGGACATTTTATGTAAATACTCGTTTAGCTCGTTCATTGTGATGTTGGCTATCAGTAAAAGAATCCCTATGTATTCTAAAAGAATCCCTATGTATTCTATTTTCTAATGCCTATGCTTTGAGTAAACTTTCTGAATACAAAACATTTTTCATCTCTAGTGTAGAACCATCTATTAGCATTTGGTTATTGGTTTTGTGAATTTTCATTGTATTGTTGGATAGCAGTAAAACAATCTTATCTATTCTATTTTCCAATGCATATGTTTGTGTGCAGCTTTCTCAACGCAAAGCATTTTTATTTTATTTTAGTTTAGAAACATTAATTGATTTGTTATTAAGATATGGTTTCCTTAGATAATTGTATCATATACGAACTTCATTCACAGTATCATAGGTCCAGTTTTCTACTAAGTCTATGCATTAGACGTGTTTTCGCTTCTTGGAGGGGGAACTTCAGGCGCAGGGATGATTATTTGTTAAGATTACTAACTTGAAGAGCTCATCCTTAGGATGTTACTCCTTATTCATGGAAGTTGGAAGCTTATAATGAAATTTTTTTAATTTCTGGAGGCTACAGTGAGTGCTTATAAACACTTTGTATAAAAATATCAGGCATTATTTTTCAATTTAATACTATTTTTTTATGAAATAAAGTTTTAAGTCTACAGAGAAATGTTACATATTTTCATGAGGTTATCCTAAGAATATTAACGATATTGTTTACAAAAATCTGTACTGATGGTAATGTTTAAGAAGGGGAATAAAGTTATGAAATAATTATACAAAAATAAACAAGGTAAAACAGTCCAAATATGTGACATTAATGTTTGTTCGTTCGTTATGATGGTGAAAATAACTATAGTATTTTTCATTAGCAAATATATTTAATATGATAAGTTTATGCAAACCCTCTAATATTCTGGACAAAGACGAAACACATAAGCCCAAATAGTTAGCCCATTAATTATCTTTGAAATTTTACTGTACTAATATCATAAAGCAAAATGACAGGAGCACACCTCCAACCACAACTCTAACCACACCCTCTCTTTTGCTACAGTGCACAAGGCTCACATGGTATTTTAAAAATTTATCAATTATTGTCAAACTACCGCATAATTATCTGCAAATGGCTCTGAATGACTGTAGAACCCCATAATTTTTATATGAATATATATGAATTATTAGTAAATAAATAATTCTTTTATGATAAATAGCTTGAAGTCATTGATGTGCATGATAGCAAGTTATTTGAAATGATATGGGGGTATGGGTGTAGAGCTTTGTGTGTTGGAGTTTGCAAAATTAGCAAAACATGCACAAAACTAAAATTTTCCAGTTCAGTCGACACATCAGTCGACTGATGGTATCGGTCGACACATCAGTCGACTGATAGGCTGATTTCCAGTTTTTACAGGTTTCGGATCTGTTTTGTTTTGGTTCGGGTTTGGGTCGGGTTTATCTGTTGGTACATATCCTTTCTCACCCAAACTCACCCCTTAGGACTTCAGACCAGAGAAAACCCTAGCCCCCTCTCTTCTCTCTCAAACCCTAGCCTTGTTCTTGGTGATTTGGGGAAGAAATCGGAGGATTTTCGGCGGGATTTTCAATTTGCAGCGAAAGGAATCACTCCCCCTCAGATCCAGGAGCTCTTCATCACCTCAGAGGCGAGTAACATCTCACCCAACCTTGTCCCATTCTTTTTAAACGTTTTCAAATGGTTTTATTGAGATCTCTTCCGCCTAAAACGTATTTTGTGTACAAAGATTGGATTTTTATTGCATATAACATGAAGATGTGCATTTTCAGTTTGATAAATAACCTACTAATGTTTGGTAAATTTAAAATCCAGATCTGAAACGTTTTATAAGAGATTTAACATGGGTTTTGTTTTGAAAAAATGTTTTTAAATACATAAATACATATGTTTAGAGTTTTATTTATGTATTTGTACATGAAAGTTATGTTTCAGTTAGTCCATACATGTTAAAATACGTATGGTTCATGCTTGGAATTGATGGGGATGTGTTTAGATAAAGTTTGAGATGAAAATCAACCTGAGCAGAGTTTCTGCAGGCCATCGGTCGACTGATCAGTCGACCGACGGGCAAAAATTTCCAGTCATCAGTCGACTGATCAGTCGACTGACGAGCTGGTTGTGTTTTCTCAGCTTCTCGGTCGACTGGTCAGTCGACTGGTGAGCTGAGGCTATACTGCCTGAGCTTCATCAGTCGACATATGAGTCGACTGACGTCATCAGTCGACACATCAGTCGACTGATGAGCTGTTTTACAGATTCTTGATCTGTTTAAGTTGTCTTTCGGGGTCGCCTCGGTAACCTGACCCTAGTTTATCACGTTAATGATTTATCTGTGCATGTGGGTTGACTTTTGACATGAGTTTAGACATGTACATCGGGATGCGTGCGGGTTTAGATTTGGTGTATTTTTCCATGTATGCTAGTGATAATTACATTTCCTTCATTTATAGTCTACGTGTTGGACAATACATTATTTTGATCCATGTGTTGGATACTTACCATCTTGGTCCATGTGTTGGACATGTATTCTATTCAGTCCATGTGTTGGACCTGCATCACTTTTAGTCCATGTGTTGGACATTTTTGCCGAACCTTGAGCATGGTACACATTTGAGTTTTGGAACACGACATTTTGATACCGTTAAGTCATGATAGCTACCTAGACTGGGTATGCCACTTATGTAGAATACGACATGACATGTTATGACGTGGGACACTACATGATACTCTGTTTATGTTCTGAGATGGGTTGTCTTCTCTTTTATTTGTTTTCTGTTCACGTATTAGACTCCGGGTTTGGTACTTAGGGATTTTTAATTTGGGATACAAGGTATATACATGAGGGTTTCCTTGTTTGGATTATTTCGCTCGACGTACCTATGCCCGTGTTGAAATTTCCTAAGTACTAAAGCCCATTGTGTATTTTTAGGATAATTGCTTATATATATATATATATGTTTTGTGATAACTGTATTTTCTTATACAACGAGCCCTATTCCTTGGGGTTGGTTGTGATGTTGCTCGCTAGCGCTTTGACGCTCGTTGTCCCTCCCCCCTTTCAGGTCACGAGCCAGGAGCCCGGAGAGTCGCAGGTTGATGGCGACACACTTTAGTGTTTAGCTGTCTATTATGTTTATGTTGGAGCTCCACTATAGATTTTGTTAGACATTTGAGAGTATTGTTTTAGAAGTTGTAAAGGCTGTGTGCCTTATTTCCTTCTTGTCAGATATTTGTATTTGAGACTTGTTGACCACTCCAGTTTATTTATTCAGACATTGACTATGTATTTTCATTTGTTGGGTGATGAGATATTTATTTGAATCACTATCATTTCATCAGCCCTTCGTGTATTATCTTTTACTTGCTTTTGTACCTACACCTGTTATTGATTCTACTAGATAGATGTTAATTGTGATGGTGAAACTTGTTGTTGCACGGTGTGGTGCATAGCAGGTTTGACATTCTTGGTTTCACCTTGGACTGCAGCCTTGAGTGAACCCAGGGGCGTCACAATGACTAAAAATTACAAACAAATAGTAGGTTATAGCTTATAAAATTATAAAATTTAGATTCCCCATAATTATTTTTCAATGAGCCGAAAAGACTAAAGCGGCCAAAAATCATGAAATATACATAAAATCGTGAATTTTTAACTTTGTGAAATTATTTACCAATTGGTCGAAATGAAAAATAGCCTAAATCGTGGGTTATAGCTCATGAAATTGTGAATTTTGAACTCCATGAAATTATTTTCCACTAGATTGGAACGACTATAAATTGTCAAAAATTATTGGTTGCAGCTCATGAACATGTGAATTTTTAATTACGCGAAATTATTTCCTAAAGGGTGGAAATGACTAAAATTGGGCCAAAACTATATGTTATAGCTCATGAAATCGTGAATTTTGGTCTCCACGAAATTATTTGCCAATTGATTGAATAAACTAAAAATGGCTAAAAGTCGTAGGTTATCGCTCATGAAATTATGAATTTCAGCATATGCAAATTATTTGCTAATGGGTTCGAACAACTAAAAAGTTACGAAAAATTGTGGTTATAGCTCATGAAATCATGAATTTTGAACACTGTGAAATTATTTATCAATAGGTTGAAATGACTAAAATAGCCAAAAATCACGAAACATGGCTCACAAAATCGTGAATTTTAGAATCTACAAAGTTATTCACCAATAGATCAAAATTACGAAAAATTACCAAAAATCATCGGTTATAACTCATAAAATCGTGAATTTTTGACTCTGCAAATTTTTTTTCGTTGGGTTTGAACAACTAAAAATTAACAAAATGCATGGGTTATAGCTCATGAAATCATGAAATTTACAATCTAGGAAATTATTTATCAATGTGTTTTAACTAGTATAAATGACCATAAATTATGGATTATAGCTCATGAAATCGTAAATTTTAGGGTCCACCAAATTATATACTAATGGATCAAAATTAATAAAAATAGTAAAATTGCATAGGTTATAGCCCATGAAATCGTAAATTCTGGACTCCCAAATCTTATTTGCCAATGGGTCGGAATGACTATAAATTGCCAAAAAT